GAGGCATATTGACCACATCGAGGTCTTGAACGGTCATCAAGTAGTCGCCAGAGCGGAGGCCCGACCAGTGGGCGACGCCCTTCACGTGTGTCAGTATTGATGGCATTTCGCCTGCGATTACAAAAAACAGATAATTAGTGTCTGTGAGCGACATATAAAGGGATCAATTTGGGTGATCAACGGCCGTACCCGACAGCGTAAACCCGAAACCATGACTCGTTCGCATCAGTTCCACACATTTGACAGCATTGGCGGACATGTCTTGAGGGCTGCCATCGCTGTCGCCCATCGCGGAGGTCGTGGCGGCCGTCGGATCGGCCATCGCTTGCGACCACTTCTTACGGCGTTGAGCCATAGCTAACGGCCGAAACTATACGTCAAAGCGCAGGCCGTGTCCACTGTTCGGCATATCACTCGACAACTATCACCACAATTAGATCCAAAGATGCAAATCAGACCCAAAACACCTGATTTATGGCACAGAAAAAACAACAAAACTTTTTGTCGCGATTTCTCTATTGTATTGAATGCTATGTTTTGTGGCAAACAATAGGCGCTCAACAGTTGGCATATAAGGGATAATGAGTTTGTGTTGTTTGCGGTGATCTATGGGCTGAAGAAGCGGAGGAATGGGTTGAGTGGATAACTATGGAGTGAATGGACAATATGTCGGACACAACATAGCAGTCCAATTGGCAGCCAATCAGCGCTCAGTGTTTCGCACAAATCGTTGTATTAATGATAAACTGGTTTTCGCTTCAAAACAAACAAATCGTTTTAAAAGTTGAGACAAAAAACTCGTTTAAAGCGCAAACATAAATGACGTTCACTTTGTTGTCAACTTTTGTTTTGAACCCCATTTGCCCCCAATTTGTTGAGTTTTGTAGTGAACTGTAGTAATTAATTGTTGTTACTAATAGTAATTGTGATTTATTTATTAATCATGATAATCTATTTTCAAAATGTTATAATATATCAACTTTAAGGGAGAAATATTTTTAAAAATGACTAGCAATTAAAAAATTACACAGTATGTCCATAAAATTAACATAGTAGTTAATTTGGCACTATTATTACCGTATTCTTATAAAAACAATTTAATAATTTATTAACTTGATTTTAATTAAGTTAATATTTGTTATTTAATTAGCATAATTAACAGTTTGTTAGTTGAAAAGTGATGGTTATTTCACTGATAGTGGTATTATCCTTATTGATACATAACTTAAAAGTTAACTTATTTTATTTTAATTGATCCGAACAGTTAAGTTAACTACGATATGAAGGAAGCAATTAATTGATCAAACTCAAAAAGTTAATAAAAAATAACTTAAATTTTTAATCGTTTATATTTTATTTACTTTACTTTATGTGTTGTAAACCCATTAAGCCTAATATTTCACAATGAATTTCTTGATAATTTATAAATATATCTTTCATTATATCGTAACCACTATTAATATTTTTGTTGTTTATTTAATCATACAATTAAATCTAAAATTAGTGTTATCTATATATCCACACATGAATAACAAGTTAAATATTGACATTAACTTACTATTTATATCCATTAGAAGCGTGATTAAGACTACGATTATTGATTTATTGCATAATCAACTTATACTAAACTTTATATATAAAATGATCATTTCTTATATTTGTCTCATTTAATAAGTATACAGGTTGTGATCAAACACTGCATTCAACACAATGTATAAAAGGTATAGTAAAGACTCTTTGGACCGATTCGGTGATGATTTGTGCGAAGTTTTATTATCTTATCTGTCATTTGAAGACCGATTCCGATACGAGTCTGTGTCCACACAATGGCAGCGATCGGTATTCACCGCACAAACGGCGCTAACAATTGATTATAGTTTTTACAACAAATTGATAACTAATGGACAGCAAAACTATTGGACAACTTTTGAGGTAATACTGGAAAAGTGTACAGAAATCACAGCAATTGATTGCACGGATGTCCGCATCGATTACAAGATGTTTGAGTTAATCGTTAAACACTGTGAGTGTTTGACACAAATCAATATAACAATCAATCGGGATATATATGTGGCCATAATTGACGAGTTTTTTGACAAATTTGCCGCCACTTTAAGGACAATTGGATTTTGCGTCGAAAACAATACAGTTATCGGCGAAAGAGTGACCGAAAACATGAAACTTTGCAAAAGTTTACGCGAAATTAGCGCTAATTCTAGAGGGGATTTCAATACAGGATTTTGGCCAATGTTTTGTACCGAAAATTACATCCCATTCCCGAAACTGACAACAATTTCGTTCACTTATCATAACGAAGACATGTATGGCTTTGAGATGTTTGTAGAAAACTATAAAAATCATGGCTTAAAAGCGATTCGTGTTGTAATCGACGAGAGCTGTGATGAGAAGGCAATTGCGGTACTGATGACAGGTTTGTCTCAAATGTCGGCATTAATTGATTTGAGCGTTGATTGCAATATAAACGGCGATTCATTGTACGAGACGTTTGCCAATGAATTCACACAAATTGGTCTCAATTGTCGACATTTAAAACGATTGTCGGTTTCGTTAACTTTTGGCGAAATATTCTATGATTTCGTGGATTTTTTGCAAGAAATTAATGAAAACTTTCAACAAATCAAACGCCTGGAGATTTGCGGCGATTTCTCCGATAATTATATATTGGGCAGTGATTTACTCAATCAATGCAAACGATTAACACATTTAACACTAAATGCATTTATTTGTAATAAATTCTTCGAAAATATTGACAAAAATGTCTCAAAACTTAAACAAATTTGCTTTCATAAGACAAATATCACTGATATGTCGATGGATTCGTTGACAAAACTACCGGATTTACAAACCATTAAACTTTACGATTGGTATAAAACAGAGTCAATGATTGGCGAGTCTATGATCACTGAAATTAGCCATAGATTACCACATATTAAAGAGATTATTGTTGTTCACAGAAAATAACACATTTACAACGAAACAAGAATTTGTACTATGCACATTAAAACGAAGATTACACATTAATTTACATAAGTTAGCAAAACGTCATTAATTATATAGATTCATGTCAATGTAATACCTAAATTAAAGTTGTGGTTCAAAATGTTTATTCAGTGAATAGTTTCATATATTTTAATGAATATCTAAAACTTGAAGAAACAGAATGTCACAAAAATATTTGATAAATATTATGTTTATTCAATTCATTGTCTATTCATTGATTGCATATTTAATTAATCTAGTGTTTAGTTTTAAAAATTAATTTACATTTATTTCTTAAAACAAATTTTATTATTAATTTATTCAATGAACAATTGTAAGAATTGATAATTTATTAAATACTTTTTATTCGTGAACAATAAATGTCAATCAAAAATGTATTTGTGAAATGTGTTAGTGAAATACAAATATTAAGTTTTAAATAATTTATACGATTAATGAAAATTATTATTACTGTAAACACAATCATTATTTTTGGCACAATTCAGTTACAGATATGATTTTTTTCAAAAAAGTCGTTGTATAAAATGAAATACTTTGAGTAAAATAGTTACTGTAGTTAACACTCGTTTTTAAGCGGAATTTTCTCCAAAATCATCTGAAAAATAAAATTAACATTAAAATAATATTTAATTAAAACAAAAAATTATTTAAAATACTTACATCGAGCAACTTTTGTGTGTATAACTCTTTGTCGTACCAGTTATTATAATCTCGATTCTTGTCCGGGAGTTGAATATTCTCGCGTTTGAGCACTAATTCCAGTTCATCCGTATTGAACACTAGTATGGGGTCGAGCCCTGCCTTCCATATCAAATCTCCCAAATACTCCTTATAGTGAAGTCTATATTATGAATAAAACATACAGTACTGTAAAGTATATGTTATTATTTTAAAACACTATTTGAATAGTATTTGAAAACATGATAAATTATTTATCTAAATATATGTTGCAAAATACCTGCATAGACCTGCATTCTCGACATACCGACCGCAGGCCTCGTCTCGCATACCATTATCGGTGTCCTTCTGCTCCATAACAGGACATCGGGTGCTCTTATGGTCCGAATCTAATTTGGTTTTGTATTTAATATTTTCTTTCTACAAAGAGGTGGCAAAACAATTATCATTACAACCGATGCCCAACACATCCCATAATAATAACTTACATCAAGCAATGCTTGCAATTCTTGAGTGTCTTTGTCTCTCAAATAAAAGAGACAATTTCTCGGATGGTGTGAATGGAGACCCAGTTTCTCGCAAAACGGAGAGACACCACATCTCTTGTATCCGTCCATTCAATTGATTTATTAGTTTATAAATTATATATGAATTATTAGATTATATAACAGACAACCTATACATACATTTCCCATTTTGAATGGTCGCTGACAACCGCCGCAGAAGTCGTACGAGCACTGAATGCATCGAAAGTGCATACAACCACCCTTTGCCAACTGGTATTTGAATTTACAATTAGGACAATCTGTAGTCATATTCATTGATTAGGATAGAAAATACTTGAAATATATTATCGATTATGGTAATTTGCGTTAAATCACATACCAATACCAAACTCTTTAAGGTGTTTATCGAGTTGTTGTTCAGCAAATGAGGGGTCGTTAGCCTTTTCCCATTCGGCGAACTGTTCGCAAGTGATGCCAAAGTGTTGTTTCTTCCACTATTCAGATGACCGGCAAAGACATAACGATCACAATTATATGAATACTATTTTGTGGTGAAAACAACAAACCTTTTTCTTGCATTGAGTACACGTTAGGTTCTTACAGTCCGGACACATGAGGGTCAGCGCCTGGAGGTTGGGTGCTATGAAACCTGAGCTACACTGTATGCACACAATTAGATCAATCGTACAATTATATTAACAAATAATATTCTTGATATTCTTACTATGAATACAGAATATTCTAATAATAGATATGCAAACCTGAGTACACCATTGAAAGTTTGGGTCCCGCATGAGAGCCCTGTCGCGGCACTTGCGCTGAAACAGCTCATAGACATCGGTGGGCACGTGATGGCGGACCAACTGATC